ACACAGTAAAGTTATTTTATATATAATACATATAATGGCACTGTTCTAGCGGTAAACACTAAAGCCCGCATNAGTAAGCAATGTAAAACAATATACTTGCTACGCTGATTTAACCTACATTGATTATATCTCTCCTATAATCTAAACACAGCATCGTTAATTTATAGTCTCTAAGCAAACACACCACTTCCAATGACCACTGGCCAGGTTTTTCTCCTGCTACGCGAGAAAGATGATGCCAGGGTTTCATCTTTCCCTCTCTCTCAGTACCCGAGCGAGTACGCACTAATCTGGCCAGTGCAGGCCAGCTTGAGACTTTTCTTTCTGGAGCGATCAGCAGCTATTCGCACTCCCCGGCAATAGAAGAATGGAGCAGTTGCATTGAGACTCCACGGTATCCCTAGCCCAGAAGCAGAGAACAAGGCGCGTCCAGCTCTCTTGTCAAAAATGTGCGCTCTAATTCAATGGAAAAAATAAATTATTATTCACAGATTGACATGAGGTCTCTTCAATCCGCTATCCCAAATGTAAAAAAAGACAATGTCCATCTTTCAAACTAAGAACATTTGTCCCACTCTCACCGACTACGCTCGAGACGGTGACCTTTAAAGAGAGAGAGAGCGCGCGAGTGCTAATGAAAACAGCCAACATTGCGCGCGAGAGCGTGGGCACAGAATAAAAAGGATCATCGTCCACCTCCTCCTGAAAAGTGTGCTCTTTCTGAAAATACCATCCATCGCATCCCTCCATCTCAACAACACAGTCAGTCACACACACACAACCCTCTGATCACACTCATTCTCAACACAAACACACACAGACAAACATGGAACACAGAAACTGAAAAAAAGAAACAAACAAACAAAACAGGGAAATTTTTGTGGATCTTCTAACAAACACAAGCACATCGAGAACACAAAAAAAAAACTCACCCTGTCTGTTGCAGTGACTGAGGTTCATACAGCGAGGGAGTGGATATCCAACTGCCGCAGAGCAGCTAGCTAGCAGAGCAGCTAGTCTTCGTCAAATCTGAGCCGATTTCTACTTTACAGTCGTCATACTTTTTGTTTAACATTTCATTGCATAAGGCTTCGTATGATATCCTCACAGTAAGTATCTTGAACATTATACAAATGGATGGATCGCACAGCTTGCATTTGATTTTTGGTGATGATAGCAGTCAATCTTTGATAAGTGTTCCCGGTTTGAAGATGACCACCATAAGAAAAGCATTAGTATCATGACGGTCTGAACGTGCTCACACTTCACACACTCTATGATGTGTTTCGCACATTCCTATGGTTCAGGCATGTGAATCAGGCTGGTCGCGTAACACTCACTCACAGAACGTATACATTGCCTACTGATGTTGAGCCATGCACTGCCTCACATGGAATCACACCTGCATCTATCACATTTGTCTGCTTCTGTCCATGTGTTTACTTCCAGTTTTGTTCATTATAGTGTAGTTCTTATACTATTTTACCAGTTTGGTAAAGCAGGGGTTAAATGAAATGGGATGTCAAGCATGGTTGTGTTTAATGTAATTAGCAGACTTAAACAGGACTAGGAAGTCTAATTTGGCGCCAGACACCAAGTACGCCGTGCAAAACTGAAGAACAATAGGAGGCTTAAACGGTTATTGGCAACACCACAATGTTTACATAGGTGTAGTCTGAAGGGTAAGACAGCAATAGTGGTTAATACATTTACACATCTGTTTATCAGACATTCAAATGTAGCGGCCTGCATGACTGTGAGAGTCACAGCATCACTATGTAGATCCATCCGACTCCAAACAGTGAGAAACTGAAACGAACATAGTTCCGGTGAAAATGAGCCTCTTTACACAGTGATCTCTAAAGTTGTATTATTGACAGATTCCAGCTCCTTGTCGCCAGATAGAGGAATCGACATGAGGTAATATCAGAGCGGCATTAGTTATGGTCTTAATGTGTAACAAATGAAGGAGGACCAGCACGTTAATCATCCATGATTAAAGTCTAGTCTCTCCTGATTGTACACGTACCATACCTCATATTGACCTCATGCCGCTTGATTCTGATTTCTCGTATGTTGGCCTCAAGGAGCTGGAATCTGTCAAATATATACACTTTAGAGACTGTACTGTGTAAAGGAGGCCATTTGTCAGGGAACTATTGTTTCCCCTCTTCCATTATCCTGACTGGGTTTTTTTGAGGAGTCGGGATGGAATCTAAATAGTGAATGCTAGTGATTCTAAAAGGCATTTAATGCACTTCTGAATAGCTGGTGTACAGGAGTCACCCCTCCTGCATTACCAACTATTGCTTTTACCAAAACACTTTATGTCAACAATTGTTTGGTGTTGCCAAAGAACTTTGCTACCCTTCCTATTGTCTTCGTTTTCCCCCCTTAACTTTGTGTTGGCGGTCAAATCTGACCGGTTGTCATGGTTTTACTGCTATTACATTAACACAAAAACCATTAATCCATCACCGACAATTTTCATTTAACACCCTTTCAAACTGTAAATAATTGTATCAGACTACTGGTATAACATGAACAACTGCAGTAGACATGATACAAAGAACAGACAGATGACCTGTATCTGCGGTGCTTAGGTGTGGATCCATGTAGAAGGTGGGCACATAAGAGCGGGAAATGTATCACATTGTTCTGTGTGTGGTGTGTTTGAGTCGCCAGGTAGGTGTGATTCACATGGGGGGATTGGACACATAAGGGGGGGGAAACACATCTAGAGTGTGTGTGTGTGTGTGTGTTTTATCAGATCCGGATGGTTACTAATTCCTTTTCTTTATGGTGGTCATTTTTGACCGGGAACACCATCAAAGTTGACTAAATCATCCAAAATTCAATGAAAGTGGTGATCAGCATTTGTATATGTTCAAATACTACTGTGAAGGATATCATGAAGCCTTAATGCAATCGAATGTTAAACAAAAAAGTTATGATTGAAGAAAGTAGTAAATCGGCCAGATTTGACCCGAAGACAACAGGAGGGTTACACAACTGCTGTCAGAATATCAATGATGTTGCATTTTACAGCCCTATTACATCAAAGTTAAAGAAGACAAAAAAAAACATTACTAATTTTACACTAAACTGTGATTGATGGCTGTGTTTCAAGAATGTAATCAGCAGTCGCACTTCCGTTATAATGAATGTGGCCCAGATCCTAAAGAGTGCAGTACACAGACTAACGGTCATTATATAGTAATTTATTAATTTTGGCGAATGTCATCTGAAGGGCAATTTACAGCTTTTAACAGAGCCATAGTACAATACTTTATAATTACAACATTTACAGGTGCGGATTCAGTTTGTCTTTACATCAAACAATGGAGATGAGCTGTGAAGGAACACTGAATGAATGCACAGAAGACGAAGCAAACAATACTTTTCATTGGCCAAGATTCACCTCGGCCTACAGGAATGCTTTTATCTTGAACCGTCACCAGTGCCATGACGGACACACGGCTGCTCAGCTTCAAAGCACACTGACAGGAGGCCAAATACGTGACGCATGTCGTTTAGCGAGACATCAACTCATGGTGCTGTCACATAGATACTGTATGGAACAGTGATTCAACTGAAGGTAGACTTTAAACACAGACACCGTGTGTGGAAGTGAGACTCAGGGGTCTCAGCGTTCAGCCACATGTCGAGCAGTAGCAGTTTGTATCCAAACGTTTCACTCATTTGTATTCCACAACAGCCATCCTGTGATAGAAAAGATGAAAATATGCAAATGTAGAGACGTAGAGTGCTTTGAGATGGCAATTTGAAGGTTAAGATTGATTCAGCGATATCCACTTTGTTTTTATATCTGGACACAAAAGGGGAAACATTTTTTTTTTGTAACAACAAAGAAATTGATAAAAGGTTACCTAAAAAAAGCGATAAGAAAAGACAACGGTCTCAGAGCACTCTATCAACAAAAGCGAATTGTGAACAAAAGCAGAGTGTGTTCCAGGAGTCCAAAGGTGAACTCTTTAATGTGTCTGAATGCGGCTCCTCTATAATCTGCCGTGTTCTTCTGTCGCTGTGTTTGTGTTCATCTGTCTGCTCCTGAATGAGATTGTGACCAAGCGGCATACTCTCCATATAACTCTTATACAGTCTATGGTCGTGACTCAGCAGTCATTACACAGCGTTTAGGGCATTTAGAGTTGATGTGTTTCTGTTCAATCTCTCCTTTTCTCTTTTTTTCATATTACCAAAAAGATATCCCTGTGTTTTAAAGTGAAAACCAGTCGATGTAAAAGGAATTTGTTTGGATTTGAGGAAAGCCTGTTTATGAATAATTTATAGAGCCACTTCCAAATAATAAATAAACAAATGAATAAATAAACAAGCAGGCAAGCAAACACCAACAAACACATTTTTCCCCGGTAGTTTTCTTTTTCGTATAAATGTCTGGTAATCCAGAGTCTGATCCTTGAAAAATAGTCTAATACGAGTTATTGAGCACGATGCTGTTCTCCAAAAGCGTGTGGGTAGGGGTCAGTGTGAGGGGGGCTCAGTGTGAGGGGGGGCACGGGTTGCTGCAGCTGGAGGCAACACTGCTTCAGTCAGACGGGTCACTAAAGTCTGTGACTGAAAGTTTGAAGTTTTGCAAAATATAGAGATTTGAACCCTCCTAATAATCCATTCTCACAGCAAAGAGACATCCTCTGATGACCACATGAGCTCCTGCTCTCTCTCAGATGGAAGGTTCTCCATGTGTCTCACTCTGTCATGATCCCTCCAGCATTGAAAAAATACATTTTTTTAATTCTTAAAACTAGCATTTGCTCTACTTTCTGCCTCCCAAAGCTTTTGTTTCTATTTCTCTGCTGTGCTTAGCATCCGACGGGGATCTGAACACAGCTCCAGGTTCTGAGGCTCCATCCAGATGCCCAGCCACACCCGGAGGGAGGAACCAACATGGTGGGACGGTAGGGGGTGTAAAAGGGTCTCTGTCTGTACAGTGTGGAAAAAGAGTACAGGCATGTGGGCTAAAGCACGGTGGCGTTGTGGCCCTCCATCCTGGGCAGCCGGGGGTCCTGTACTGTCCCCATGGTAACCAGCAGCGGACGGCTGTCCTCGGACAAACCCAAGCGACCCAGGGTCACTGAAGCCCCCCTCTGGTGGGCGTTGGCCATGGAGAGGCCCTGCTGGGGCTGGGGGGCCGCAGGGGGGTTGGGGTGCACGGCCTCCAGCGGCAGGCCCTGCTCCTGGTAGCCGTAGCCGATGTTCCCACAGGGGAACCGCCTCAGTCTGTAGAGGGGCACCGGGGGCAGCGCGGCCGAATCTAAGAGCAGAGGGGACTGGGCAGCAGGAGGGGGGGGCGGGGGCAGCAGAGGCCTGCAGAGACCCTGCTGCTGCTGCTGCTGCTGGTGGTGCAGCATCTGCAGGTGGTGCTGCTGGAGCTGCTGCTGGTGGAGCTGCTGGTGGAGCTGCTGCTGGAGCTGCTGCTGGAGCTGCTGCTGGTGCTGCAGCCCCAGGGCCCCCGCCACCTCAGCCACGGTCCGGCCCACATGCTCCTGCCCCTCCCCCGGGACCCTGCCGCTGCCCTCTCCTGCAGCACCCACACCCCCCTGCCTCTGCTGCTGCTGCTTCCTCTGCTGCAGGAACCAGGACCCGTAGGTGGGGTTCCACAGGGTGGTGCTCTTCCCGTTGGGGCCCTCCTTCTCCTGCGGCTGACCCTGGGTGAACGCCAGGTTGATGTGCCCCCCCTCAGGGCCGTGCTGGGAGGGGATGTGCGGGCCCTTGGCAGTGAGCGTAGAGGCGGCTGTGGAGGTGACCGTGTTGCTGGTTGTCATGGCGATCTGCGTGTGAGGCTGCTGGTGGAGGTAGGGGGGGGGCGACGTCTGTGCTTTAGCCTCCAATGTTGCGCTCGTCTCCGCACTGTGCTCCCCCCCTCTCAGGGGGTCTCCTGTAGGATAGGAGGGGGGTGGCTGCTGGACCTCCCCATCATGCACCGGGGCGTTCACCAGCACCGTCGGAGCCGAGGGGTCCCGCTCCTCCTCTTCTGGGACAGGTCCATACTCTACAGGCAGTGGCATGGTCACCACGTCAGGGTCCTAAAGAGGGGGATATCAGAGGTTAAGGTGAGAAAGTATCAATAATAATAAAGAGTCTATTCCTCTTCTTCTTTTGCCTGTGGCTGCTGTGTTTACCCAGGCTCAAAGTCTCACATGTGATGGACCACTCTGAACACATTTCAGGTGTTGAATAGAGAGAAAGTGAACCGCGTCTTTTTATTGTCCTAAAAAAGCAACATTTCAAGATGCATGACATCTTCTTCAGACAGGTCATTAACACCTAGCTAGCTAGTTAGCTCAGTAGTTCCAGTTAGCTGGTGGACTGTTGAACTGTAAAGCAGCATGTGGGGGCTCTTTAGTGTTCTCCCTCTGAAACAGGATCTTATCATAAGGGACCCTGAGTCTCCACAGGTAGACTCCTATACAGCTAATATTTCATATGTTCAATGTAATTGTGACTCCCAAAGTGGGGTAAGATTGATCAATAACACTAAATAGATTAACAACAAGTAATTTGAATTCAGAAACATGTTTTGATGAAGCTCCTTAAGCACCGATCTTGGGTTATCCTTTACAGAAATCCGACACAGGCTTGGAGTAATACGTAAAGACAGAAAAACCCAATAGAAATCCCACAGTGCTCTGATTGGTTACCTGCAGGCAGTAGTCGATTCTCTCCAGGATGGTGGAGAAGTTGGGCCTGTCTTCAGGCTGATGCTGCCAGCTCTGAGTCATTATGCGGTATCTGAAGAAACACACAGGCAGAAGAACATATGCTGAAAATACAATCTTTGCAGATGCAGAGAAGTAGATAAACTAACCCTGCAACATGCTAATCAGAGAAGTGAACAAATAACTAAGAAACATTTCCATGGAACTGAAAAGGCAGATTGCAACAGGATATAAGGAGATCTGGAAAGCTGCAGGTATGAAGGAAAAGCTGAGAAATCACAGAGAGGCTAAAGTGTGGCTCCAATGCGTATATTAGAGAGCCAGGAAATGTGTGTGTGCATCTGCCCGTATAGCTTTTATAATAGAGTTGGCAGCAGAGGCGGTGTCTGAAGTGAAAAATACAGTCTGATATCAAAATATTTTTAAAGCTCTCTATCAGCTACCCGGCACTTCTTCCAAAGTGGGAAGCAACATGAAAGAGAAGTGTTGATGTGGTTTCCATATTGAAAGTCATCTCATCTCATTTTCTCATGCCTCCTAGGTCCCGACTTGTTTACGTGTGAATATCAGCAAAACATCTGAGCCTTTCATGTCTGCCTCTATGTTTTCCTTTTCATTTCTTATACTGTGTAGAGTTAGGGATCAATAAAGCATCGTGATATTTGCCTCACAATATTGTATTGATACACAGCTTCCACAATCAATCTTTTATTAAATAAATCATTACAATTGCAAATTCTAATTCAATTCCTTGCTTTTTCTGTCCACTAGATGGTGTTAAATTTTTTCGGATGACGTCAACAGGATTGGCTGGAAGTTGGTCAACATTAAGAAATCAGAAATCAGATCTCAAACACGTTCTGTAAATTACATCTCATTAAATACAAATGAAATGTCAAATTGTACGTTTTTTGTTTTGTTTTAACGCAATAGTCATGTTGCTTTAAATGGCAAACATATGTTATTTTGACTTAAGTATCGTGATCATTCCATATGATTTGGCCTCCAGTGATCCAACCCTGACACTACGTATGCTTTATGTGCGACTGAGCTTCCTTCTAGCTTGTTTATGTCTTGGAAGGAGTTTAATTAGACCTCGTGGGATCACATTTTTCCTGCAGGCATGTGAAGCACTTGAATGAATTCAGATCAGCTCTTACACAGGCCCAGGGCAGTTTTTGGGTGGGTCCATTCTTCCGCCATTGGTCACAAATTCCAACACTTCCTGGTTACTGCGACTTGGATACGGCATGTAGCCCAATGAGAAGATCTCCCACAGCAGAACCCCGAAGGACCTGCAGGTAAAAAGAGGACACATCAATCACGGGGGGGGGGGGCAAGTCATACATTAAAAGCATCTTCAGAGCTGTAAAGGATGAGCGCAGATGGCAAGACTGAGATAGAAACAAGATGGAGAATTTAAAAACCTAACATATGGCTCAGGATCAGAGGTGTTGAAGGACAGAGGAAGGTGGAACAGGAAGTATGTGAGATATAGGAGTGAGAGCTATGAGAGAGAAGTGTGAGGGACTTACCATGTGTCTGTTTTAGACGTGAAGATGCCCTCCATGAAGGCTTCAGGCGGCATCCACTTGACTGGCAGCATGGCCCGCCCCCCCTTCCTGTAATAGCTGGCCCTACACACACACACACACACACACACACACACACACACACACACACACACACACACACACACACACACACACACACACACACACACCCATCACTTTAGAGAACATTACTCTGGAGAATTAAGACTCATTTTCACAAGCTCAGCGCGAGTCAACCTGAACTTTATTCGTTCCTATGGGAACTCATACTCCGTATATTCTTTTTCAGTCCTGAATTTGCCTCGAGTCAACACTGTGTTCAAAGTGGATTCAGCAAATTAGCAGACAGGCTATGTTATTCAATTTAGTTTCTCCAATTTGTTGAAAGGCAAATCGTGTACGGTAAGTGTGTATTAAAAGTTAACTAGTCAGGCTCACACACTTGAAATTTTACTTTCTAAAAGAAATGTAGCAATGCTACACCCTAAATTCAAGTTAAATATAAACATTCACCCTAAAATGTCATTATTTATGTTCCGGTGGCTTACATGTTGTCCCCAAAAGGGAAGCAGATCATGCCACAATATGCAAACAGATGATGTGAGTAAAACACACACACTTTGAATGGATACATATTGTATGACTAACCATGTGGCTAATAACAGTTATATTGTGTTTTGTTTGCCCACTAATAATTCAAAAGGGAACATTTATAAAATGAACACCAGCATCTGTCATGTAGCATCGTCACCATGGCAACACCACTGCCCTCAAAAGCAGAGGGTAAAGAAAAAACCAAAAAACCATCTTGCAATTAAATCCCCGTTTGTCAGCGTCTGTATCGCCCTCTGATGCGATCGCGCTCCCAGCTTCCTCACATGTGGGTGAGGGACCCTCTAAGAACTCTTATCTCTCAGGGGGGGGGCGTTATTCGCCGGGCCGAGCCCCGTCTGAGTCTTTTTTAATGCTGTTTTGCAAACAGGGTTGTCGGAGAAATGATCAGATGTGTGCTGTATCTGATTGTTGGTGCTGATGGAGGTCACTGCCCCCCCCCTCCCCCCCTGCTCCAGGCCCACGGCATTAACTGCTCCCCATCCATCAGCAGGAGAAATGGACACACATCCAGATGCCAGTTAAGTGGAGTTTTTCTGGGGAAAGCATCATTTGACATTGTTTGCTGTTGCAGAGGAGTACATCTGTTTTGCCTGTGTGATGTCATAACAATTATACACTTTTCCCCCTTTGCAGTCGTTTGTTAACAAGTGCTTTAGATTCAATAGGACTGTAATAGCCAAGGTTTTTTTTATGTGTGGGGGCTCTGTGCTGAGGGACGTCATTTACATCTTACAATATTACAATATACACACCTTTTCAAAAATCCATCGCTGTGCCATTTTCAATTTCCAAATTCCAACAATTTTGCTAAAGAAAAGTAAACATAATTTCAAACGATTATAACCAAAAAGATGTCGCCAGTTCACGTCCCGATCGGACCAACAAATACGGAGTGTGGACTGGAGAGGAGCCAGTTCACCTCCTGGGCCACTGCCGAAGTGTCCTTGAGCAAGGCACCGAACCCCCAACTGCTCACTGGCGCCGGCTAGACTGGCTGCCTCTGCTCTGACCTCTCAACTGCATGTGCATGTGTGACTGTGTGTGTATTTGTATATGTATGTATTGTAAAAAGTGTGTACTGTGTGTACCTGTATAAAACGCATGTGCGTGTATGACAGAGTGGAAACTGATAAAGGTCCATCTTCTTCTTCTGATTAATACCAAGAGCTACTATCAGTGCCCTGTACACCGGGATAGAACTATAGCAGCCTTTAGATTATGACTCTTTGTTCATTATGCTATCAAACTGTTCTTTTGATGGGTGATGCTCAGAGGTTTTATATCCGTCACTCTATATACATTTGTGTCTCTGATAGTGGAGGTTGAGTCCCATCCCTCTCCTTTACCTTTTGTAGCAAGTCATGTGTTTAGGATGCATGTTACAGCCCCCTGCCTCGTTTCCTCCACTCTGCATTATATTATGAGCTCTTGTGTTTATTGGATGTGCTGTCTCCTAGGTGCAATTGGCTTCCCCCTAAGGTGATGTTTCGCCCCGTTCTCTCAACTGGCGAGTCGGGGATCCTGATTGGTTTGGTTCCTGGCTCTTCCCTCCAATCACAGGGCAGACCTGCAGACAGACCCTTCAAATACTGAAACAGCTGGACATTACGGGCTCTGATCTTGTTTGGATGAACTATTTTTGTCTCTTGAGAGTCATTAAACCTAGTGATGTTTTTGTTTGCCGTTTCTCTTCTCACAAAATATAATAACATATATCATATTTATATTTCTTTCTTTACAACCCAGGCCCTCCATCTGTTGTTTATTGGAGCACTATTGTTTTTTTCTTTTGTTTGAGTTTGGCAATAAATGACATCATTTTTGTTTTTGCTGTCCTTTACTTTAACATGATGGGTGATACATTTCGACTTATAAATCAGCTGAAAGTATTTATTATTACGTTTACTACTGTCTTTTTTTACGTTTGTCAACAAAGTAGACAATGACTTTGACATTTCGACACACTACACTACTTATACTAGACTTTACTACTTTTTACATGCTATTTTAGACACACTATAGTATGTCTTTTTTCAATACAATATTTGCAAAACATACTTTTCCTTGTTTCAGAGACATTTTAACATTTAGACTACGATTTCCTTTTGATATTTTTAGACAAAACTTTACTATGACTTTTTACATTATATTTTTGACATACTATACTTAGACTTTATTCTTAATATTTCGTCATACTTTTAATTTTTTTTTTAAACATACTGCACTAAGCAATTCTCATGTTCTTTACCTACGTTTTTTTGTATTGATTTCTTCTGCATACTTTACAATGACTTCTTTATGACATTTTGACATTTTACTATTATTTCTTTTTTTAATAACATACATTACTATGACTTCTTAGACTTAGTATACTCTTTTTTACAATATTTTTCCCACAATATTATTATTATAATTGAACCCCTGACAATAATCTACAGTCAGGTTGATGTGTGGAAGGTTTCCAGTTCAAATCCCTGGGCCTTTAGGGAAGGTACAAGAGTGGTAGTAACAGTCTCTCTGAACCTTCTGAAAACAGACGCTAGAGTAACTGAAGCAGGACCTGAAGCAGGACCTGAAGCAGGACCTGAAATAGGACCTGAACCAGGACCTGAAGCAGGACCTGAAATAGGACCTGAAGCAGGACCTGAAGCAGGACCTGAAATAGGACCTGAAGCAGGACCTGAAATAGGACCTGAAGCAGGACCTGAAGCAGGACCTGAAATAGGACCTGAAGCAGGACCTGAAATAGGACCTGAAGCAGGACCTGAAGCAAGACCTGCTGGGGCAGCACATGGCTAACAGAAAACACTGTAATCGCAGCGTGTAGCTCCAAGGTGTGAATATGAGGCAGGATGAGAAAACACTATTGTGTTCAGTTGGCATTCCCTTGACAAATAAAAGCTGGAGAAAAGAAAGAATGCAGGACATATCAAAAACAGGGTAACGAAACCTTAAACAGCTGGGGTAAAATATAGGACACCATACAACAAAAAAAGCAAATGTGGGTTTGGCAGCTGAAGCTCTTCAGATATGGCAGCCAAAGGATGCATGACCCATCACAATTATTCTTCGCAGTAGTTTAGGTGGATCTCAAACTGATTTCAAGCTGTTCTCTTGCTCCCCATGGGCAAAACATTTCTCAACTACTGTTAAAAACTAGGGCTATGCATGCTTCAAAAGTAATCCGTCAAATTGAATCCAAAAATAAGTAGCAACTACCATCAGGAATCTCAAACAGATGTAGCTATGCCTCACCTTCTTAAGGCCAGAGAATACAGGAAACTGGTCACATTTCAGAGATGGGTCTTTTTTGATTTGATAACATACTCCAAAAATATACTTTTAAGTTTCCTATTTTATCAGCTTTGTCTTTTTGTGTCTGTACAAAGTACTTATGCATTACAAAAGTAGTGTGTAATGAACTGGGGAGGTTTTGTTGTGACGTATTAGCTCAATGTTTTGGTCCTATAGGATTCACACTGGCTGTCTCTCTTTACTGAAACAGTGATTCAAGTCGTTATCGTTTAAAAACAAACAAAGCTTCATCTTGCTCAGACTATCTTTTTTCTGTGATATTTAAACCAGGTCTAAAGGTGTTGAAACTGCAATGGTATGGACCCAGGGCAAATAACGGGAGCCAGCCCTGATCATTTCAGTTGAACTCGTAGCTCCATCTGTGTGTCTTTGGGGGAGCAGTGAGTTGAGAGATGATGTGCTGTCAGAAAGTCAGGCTGAAAGGGAAATGTTTATTTAGCAAACTATTGGCACAAGAAGTTAGCCTTGAAGAAAATTGCACTTAATCAATGAAGAAGGGAAAACAATCACTAGTTGAGTTTGTTTGCTTGACAGATTAGCTAAGAACCACGGGGCAGTCCCACTTATCTCCGCAATATCTGGCTGAGAATAACACGATCGATGCACTGAGGGGAAGCAGTTCCCTCCTGCATTTGTATGCCTGCAATTACAGTATTGAATCCTAACAACTTCTCCCTATGTGTGCTCTACTTACTCGTATTCCTCTAATTTCCCTGTCTATCCTTATCAAGAAATTAGTCAGGGAGGCGGTGTGTCCTCGGAAGATGTGATTCGATCAAACAGCTGTGGCAGTGATCCTGCTTGTGTTGTTATGAAAAGAGTTCACTGATAAAGACTCCCACAATCTCCAATCCTTTTTCTTTCAATATGTATACAGCTGTGACCTCTGGAAGTAATCTTCAAATAGAAGATTTAAACACATGGAAATGTTGTACATTGCTATTCAGTACATTATCCTCCCCATTTGAACATGCTGGAATATTTAGAAAAGATTGAGAGATGGTACATGTACATTATAAGACTGATAATCCCCCTATCAGTGAGGTCAACCTTTTTCCTTAGCATGGAGTTTATGGACATATTTATTACTGCTGCTAACAGCACCAGACCAGCACAGACTGAACGCTGAGCCGCAGATTAAGGAAGGTTT